GTCTCCCACTCCCATACATACACTCTCACTAAAAATTTTATTTTTCATACCCGGAGTTATTTTTTCCGATTTCTTTTTGAATTTGTAGGTCTGTTGAATTGGATCGTAATTACGATTCCAATGGAATAAATTATTACCATGGAATATTAGTGTTAGTGTTTAAGCCTTTTCATTATATTCTTACTCTGTCCTGGACATTGAATTCTAACTGGATTCTATCCCTTGAAATTCATATATATATATATGCATATGTTTGTATGCATATATATATATATATATATATATATATATATATATATATATATATATATATATATATATATGTGTGTGTGTGTGTGTGTGTGTGTGTGTCTGTATTGACCATATAATATTATCTATATATATATATATATATATATATATATATATACGAAGAAAATATACTTTGAAGATGTGCTATATTTATGGGATAAAGTGCTCTATATCAGGGATAGAGCGTATGTAAATATAAAACTGAACGTTGAATATCAATTGGTAATTAGTAGGGCTAATTACAAGAACATTAATCCAAATGAACATAGCAATATAATACTTTTTTAAGGTCTTATATTGAATTGTTTTTCTTTTTCTTTCTTCCTCATTTAATATTAAAACTTTTTCATTTCTTCCTCTCCCTTTTGCTTTCGTCTGTATAAATTGACTCCATTTATTGAAGCAATGAATATATTTTTCTCTGTCATGAATTAAATTATAAACGAATGTATTTTTAAGGCTCGTCTGTACTGATAAAATATCTATCTATCTATCTATCTATCTATCTATCTATCCATCTATCTATCTATATATATATATATATATATGCGTGTGTGAAAAGTGTTTGTGTATATAATATAAAAATAAATATTTGTGACGCTGGGTTTCACGCTATTTGCAAACGTCAGACAAACTGATTCATTTTTAAATTTTGAATTTATGTATCGTTCCGTATATCGGTGTTTTATGATAGTGGGATACCATAAAAAACACCGATATACACAACCATATATAAATACAAAATTAAAAATGAATCCTTCTAACGACCGCAAATAGCGTGAAATAAGTGAAACCCAGGATCACAAACTCACATCAATGCAACTATATATATATATATATATATATATATATATATATATATATATATATATATATATATATGTATGTATACATCTAGATAGAAAGGGATAGAGAAAGACACAATAGAATAAAAAAGATATGCATATTTCTAAATAATTAACAGATTTAGTTTTAATCACTTATTTATTATAATATATATATATATATATATATATATATATATATATATATATATATATATATATATATATATATATATATATATATGTATGTATGTATGTATAGCATATGTTTTATTAAAAACGACTGACAATGTAAGGCGGTTAAGTTTTTATTTAATTTTTCTGATGTTCTTTCATTCATTTTCGTAAGTTCGAACTCTATCGCTTATTCATTTAGGTCTTTGCAAGGATGATTTAATTTTTCTGTTTAATGAATGTACCGATTTTTTATAGGGATTTTTCAAGCATAGCTTAGATGTTGCACAATGCCGATGATATGGGACACCCAGTGAGGATCAAAGTCGCTAGTCAGTCGTAATTGTTTTACCGAGACAAGCTTGCTAACCCTTACAGCGCCTCGGGGTATCCTACCTATTTTTCCATATTAGAATCTATAGATATAGGAATATTTTTTTATTTTCTATAAACTGGCACCTTGGGCATAATTGATGTTATTCGGTCCAATTTAACCTCTCGGCTTCGAAGAGCTTCACAATGAAACAATTTTGCCTTTAAATCACATTCACTCTTTCAGATTTCAAGAAAGGAATATCTACTTTGTTTACTATCCCAAACGTAAACAATGCGATTTTGAACAATTAATAGATATTACTTTTTTTATACGATATATTTTTTACGTCAAAACCGTTTTATTGGAAACTCGTATTTGTGTAGACGTTCCGTTTTTTGTCCCAGCTTTTCTTTTGTCTTCTGTCGTGCAAACTCGAGAAAAAAAATATCTGAGAGACGTGCTATAATCGCTCGGCTCCGAAGACACTGACAATCAAGCAAAGTCCTATTGAACATTAAAGCATACTGGTTCGTACAGATTTATTGAAATGCATGTCTGCTCAGTTTCATAAAATCGTCTTCTCCAGCATGATGGAAATCGTAATCCACTTTTGCAGAAGGAACATCTGATCTGATGACATTTAACCTCTCGGCTACGAAGAGCTTTACAATCAAGTAATATTCGATTTACATTTAAAGCACATACATTCGTTCAGAGCTCTTGATAGTTATATCAGCATAGTTTCGTATCCGATACGTAAACAAGGACATTTCTAAAAAAATAATGACTGAAATGCGCGCGCGGGGGTGTTTGTGATGTGTGTGTGTGTGTGTGTGTGTTTTGTGATGTGTGTGTGTGTGTGTGTGTGTGTGTGTGTGTGTGTGTGTGTGTGTGT